ATATAGTGTTTATCAAGACACTGGACATCAGGCAACAAAGGACAGTGATTCCTGAGAGTTGGAAAACAAGCAAGGTGAGGCCTACCAGCGCCCCCATTTACTGCCTTGAGCATTTCCAGGCAGGGGAATAGGGATGGGGGAACTTGGGTGGAGTCTAGTGAATTCCCTGAGTTAAGAAGACAGGCCTGAGAGTCTGGGGACAAGGCACCTACAGTTCATAAGACAGAGTACCCGGCAGAAGACACGTGCAGAAAGCCCCAGAGATCTGCAGTCAGTCAGTCCCTCCCATTACTGATCAGCACATGCATGTGAGAAAAACTGCCAGAGGCCTGGGAAAAACAACATCAGGAAGGATTAGTGGGGCAAGTCCTTACAATCCACAGGGCATTCATCAGGCAGAGCACTAGGGAGTTCTTGCCTCACTGGGGAATAACTAGCCATAGTCTGAGCACTGCTCTCTCTACACCTAATAAATCATAAATGCATCACCAGAAAGGGACAACTCTCATCAAGGGACTTAACTGCATCCTAGAACAAAGTACAAGATTTATAGGAATACAAAAGCAGACTGCCACATCTTTCTGCCGCAGAGTGGCAGGTGGGTTCGAACCGCTAATCTTTTAGTAAGCAGCTGAGCATTTTAACCACTGCACCACCAGGGCTCACCCAGCATCCAACAAGGTAAAATTCATGGTCTGGCATCCAATGGAAGATTACCAGGCATGCGAAGAGGCAGAGAATCATTACATGCAATGAGAATAGTCAATCAATTGACGCTCACGCAGAACTGACACAGACGTTAGAATGGGCAGAGGACATTAAACAGTTATTATAATTGTATTATATACATTCAGAAAGTTAAGTAGAGACACAAAAGATATAAAAAAGACCCCAAAAGAACTTCTACAGATGAAAACTCTAATGTCTCAGGTGAAAAATACACTGGATAGTATTAATGGCTGATTAAACACTGCATAAGAAAAGTTTAGTGAACTTGAAAGCATAGCAATAGAAACTATGTAAAATGAAACACACAGGAAAAAAAAGGGGGGGCTTCAGTAACCTGTGAGAAAATTTTGAGCAGCCTAATGTACAGGTAACTGGAGTTCCTGAAAAGGAAGGAGAACAGAAAAAATATTTGAAGAAATAACAGCTGACCTCGAGTACTGTGCTTAAAAAATTATCTATACGAGACCAAATGGACAACAGTTACTCTAAAGCATAGATGAGAAGGTTGGGTCAGTGAGACTAGGTTAATGGAAATGGAACAACTAGAACAGAAATAATGAGAACGTTGACTCAATGTGAAGAATATAATTATGTCACTGGACATTATGTGCAGAAATTGCTAAAATGGGAATCTGTTTTGCTGTGTATACATTCACCAAAAATAAAATAAAATATTAAAAGAAGAAATAATGGGTGAAAATTTTCCAAACTTGATATAAAGTATAAACTCAAAGATCTAAAAAACTCAACTAACCCTGAGCACAAGAAACATAAATAAAAAATACAGCAAGTTCCATCATAATCAAATTGCTCAACCCCAGTGATAACAATAAAATCTTAAAAGCAGCCAGAAAAAAGACAACAGTACGTACAGGGAAACAAAGACTTGACATGAATGTTTACAACAGTCTTTTTTTTTTTTTTTTTAAAACAATAACCCAAAGCAGGAAACAACCCAAATGTTCATCATCAGTTAATGAATGAATGAAATGTGGTTGTTGTGGTTGTTAGGTGCCATGGAGTCGGTTCCGACTCACACAATGAAATATTATTCAGCAATAAAAAAGAACCAACAGCTGGTACACACAAAAACATGAATGCATCTCAACTAGCTCTGTGAAAGAAGCCAGACAAAACAGTATGTATTAGTGATTCCACTGACAGAAAACTCAGCTGATGCTGTTGAGTCGACTCTGACTCACAGTGACCCACGTGCCAGAGTAGAACTGCCCCAGTGTTTTCTTGGCTGGGATCTCTACAGAAGCAGATTGCCAGGTCTTTGTCCCACTGAGCTGCTGGGTGGGTTCAAACCACCAACCTTTCAGTTAGCAGCCAAATGCTTAACGATTGTGCCACCAGGGCTCCTTATATAAAACTCTAGAAGGTACATACTAATCTATAGTGACAGAAAGCAGACCAGTGTTTCCCTATGCATGTGTATGGGGTGGGGGGAGCAATATAGGGAGGAGGAGATTATAAACGTGCAAGAGAAAACTTCTGGGGGTGATGGATATGTTCACTATCCTGATTGTGGTAATGTTTTCATGTGTGTATACATATGTCAAGAAGCGCTGGTGGTACAATGGTTAAGCACTTGGCTGCTAACCAAAGGTTGGCCGTTTGAACCCACAGCCGGACCACAGGAGAAAGGACCTGGCGATTTGTTCCCACAAAGATTACATCCTAGGAAATCCTATGGGGAAGGTCTACTTGGTCCTACAGAGACACTATGAGCTCGAATTGCCCTGATGGCACACCACCACTACAGTAAAGGTTTTTAAAACAAAAAGTACACGGACTTCTGGACCCATGAAGTCTCTTGGAAGCTGTTTCTGACAGAATAAAGGATACAGAATCCTCAGTATAGGCATATGGAATGTTAGAGTTAACAGTCGACTTTCAAGATTCTTGCACTGATAAGTTAAATGAAGCCCTTTATATGCAGTAAAAAGCTACTTAACAATATATTCTTTTGGAAGGAGACAAATAATTCTTTATTAAGAGAATGTCTATGTTAGTGTTGGGTTTTAATAAATGGGAGTGGAAACGTATGTTATTTCTAGACCATCACTGTATCTGTCTGTTCTTCATTACTGGAGTAACAGCTACAAACACAGGCTCTTCTCCTCCTTAAAGGGCAGTGCTATCAATTTCTAGGAACTGAGAGAAGACTTGTGGCACAATTTCAAAGAAAAAAGAGCCTTTCTTTCTATAAAATGCTTGTAAACAGATGCCTGAAGCAACTTTTAATACTAGAAAGTAAGGTTATTGGAAAGGAAAGTTTAAAATTAGTTAATATGGAAAAAGAGAGTATATAATTAAGAGGCTTGTTGTGGATTAGAAAAGTCTATCTGCTGTACCTGTTTTTGCAGAAGCTTCTGTATTTAGGAGGCTAACATAAAACTGTGTGAAGAATACTGAGTGTGAAAGTCTAGAGTTTTCTTTGACACAGCCAGAAGCTGTTTAGACAGAATATAAGGAATTACAGTTTTGGTCCCATTAATTCCCTTTATTTCAGATACGACTCTTCTCTCAAAACATAGGAACGGCAAAAGGAAGAATGAACAGTGAGAGACAGCATCATGTCCTGGTCAGTGTTCCCTCTCACTACCCTGCTTTGGGTGATGAAACTCCTCCGGCCAAGATATATCATCTTTGACTTGTATGTTGTAGGTGTGCCCGGAGTCACCCAGTCATTGGCAGCAAACAAGACTCAGACTGTCCCTTTAGGAACTGGTTTTGAAAGTCAATCAAAGACAGAGCTACCTCCTCGGGGAATATAATCTCACATACTCTTGTCAGTGATGTCTGACTATTAAAATTCATTGTGCATAAATGGACTGACACATTTTTGTACATATATACTGTGGTACTTAGAAGAAGTCCTTAGTCTTCCATGCTAATAGGTTTTTTACCTCTGTGGAGAGCAGGAATTAGTGATGTATTGTTACTATATTTTATGATTCCATATAAAAAAGTTCAAAAATCCTAAAACTATGGCTTCTTTTTATCGAGCTACTGGTTCAATAGCAGCTACCTTATTTGATCAGAAGGCGTTACTGAAATTCAGGAACTTAAAGCAAAACGACACGTACACTGTAGCAACATTTAACAAGGTTTAAAACTGCATTAGATGCTTTAAGCATCGTCTTAGTCAATAGACTAAGGGGTCCTGTCAGTCAATAGAAATTGTTAATTTTATAATATCTAATCAAATATTGAGAATTAAATGAGGACAATCAATCTATATAAATGTTAAAGCTATAAGTAAATACAACTTTGAATATTCATGACTTTTATTCCAAGATTATCTTGACTAAACCTTCTTTGGTTTTTATAGTAATTCTTTAAACTCTTCAATTTTGTGGTACATAACCATCTCAATTAGCATTATTTTGAACCTCTGGGAGGACAGTATGTCAGCTACCTTGTCCTTTTCTTGAAAATATGAAGAAAATGGGTGTGAGGTGAGGAGCTACCCTGGTCTGGGAGTGAGGGAGAAGACCTCTGAGGAAGACATCCTTGATTATGATCGTACGAAGAGAGTGAAAAGGATATGGATGTGTAGAACTCAACCACCTTGGGGATAAAGGAGCCATGAGGGCAAGAGAAGGGATTCTCCTGTTAAGAAGCACACATCACCTGGGCTTTCAGGGGTCTCATTTGGGAGAAAGGGGGTGTAGTCTCTGTGTTAGAAACATTGGTGTGTCCCACCCACAGGAGCCAGCAAAGAGAGACAGCTAGAGCAACAGGGGTAGAAAGCTCAGATTTGCTTATAGACTGAACCATGTTATTAAGATTATATAATAGACTCGACAACACGGTTAAAAATAAGATGTGGGAAGAAAATCAAATAGATGGAATTATCAATGGAAAGCATAAATACTAATTTGTTTTTTAAGTTAATCACTATGAATCAATCAGGATAAAGATCTAATTGCTCCAACACAACAACCACAAATGTGCTTATGACTCTGACCCCCCCAAACCATCAACCAACCAACCTAGCCACTCACTTCAAATAAAAAATATGGACAGTGTGTGCTAATTTGCTAAAGGACATCACTCAGATGTCAGGAGCACCACTGGTGTAAAAACCAATAGGTAAATCTTCCTTTTTTTTGGATAGGACATTCTGATTTCCACATTTATCTCTAAGGGAATATAGTGTAATATTCTTAGCTAGCACTTTTGTAATAGGAAAGTTCCTTCACAACGCAGGAGGACAAGTTCAGCTTCTGTAAAGATCAGCCCCTCAATCCATCACTTACCACTGCATTGCGTTCCACTCTGGATCGTATTTGGTCAACTTTGCCTTCTATCACTCTGGGAAATATTGAAGAATCTGCTCCTTTGCAAAACAGGTAAATTTCTCCTAAACCATGAGAAAAAAAGATATTTAATTAATTTAATCACAATATGGGGAAGACTCTAAAACTATTTTTTTAAATTATGCTATTATTAAAAAACAAAAGCAGAAATACCAGATCCGAGACTACCATGTAGGAGGTTTCACTGGATCAGTTAACAGACGAGGTCAGGAAAAAATTAAATCTACAAACTATCCCAAAGCCCCCATTTTATTCCTACAGCCCTAGAAATGTCATAGGAAAGTTATGAACCAGAAAAAAAAAATTGGCTCCTGAGTGTTCTTCCTCCTGCCTCTCCCTCTCCCGCCTTCTCTTTGTAAGGACATGAAGGAGCAATAAAACAATCTTGTGATAGGAAAGGGGGGCGAGACAATGAAACGAAGGGCATGGCTGATGCAAAAGGTGTGTGAACAATCTGCGGAAGGGCTGGGAGGAGGGCATAAAACTCACTGAGAGAGCAGCACATCCTCCTGCAGAACAAAATATCCAGGTCATCCTTTATGCTAATGAGTTACGGGAAAAATCCTTCCTGTAATTCTTTCCCCACCCTTCAAGTAATGCCCCAACTACTTCAAATGTATTTGTGCTGCAAATGCATGCTTTTCATCTCTCAAGATAAAAAGATTTTCTCTTCCAGATAAACTGAAGGGAAAACACTCTAGTAGGGTCGCTATGAGTCAGAATCCACTCAACGGCAACGGTTTTTTTTTTTTTAATGACAAAATGGAAGCATAAGGAGAGCAAACACACTAGCACTTACCCAAATGCTCCCTGGAACACACAGATGCCTCTTTTAGTGAAAAATCTTTTAGCCGTAAGGCAATACACCACTTTTGCAAGGCTGACTCTGCTTTGAATTGTTGGCTCATAGAAATACCATTGTACTCGCTTACAGCAATCACAATAGCTAAAGAAGAAACACTGCCTCTCTGACTTGTATTATACATTTAATTTGTCTTCCAAACAGAAAGCTCAAATGCTGAACTCCCGGGTCCAGTAACGATCCCTAGTAACCCTAGACCCGAGAGTCCTCAGGAAATACGTCATGGAAAACGAATTCAGATGCACCAGGAGGTATAGGCACTTGTTCCGTCACAGCCAATATCCTGGCCGGGGTGGGGGTTAGGAGGAGGCGTGGGGAGGGCACACGTCTGCAGCTGATGACCAGTTGATCCACACTCTGGAACCTGGACAAGGGCTCATGAACTCAGTTACAGTATTGGGAACCCACCTTAGCTTATTTCCTAGATCCTGGCAATTACTAATTCCTTTGATACACACACAGCAAAAATGTTTAAAATACAGTTAAGATTTAACACTCGCAGAAGCCACGGTTACTGTCAAGCGACGGCCAGGAAGGACGGCTCAGGACCGGGCAGTGTTTCTTTCTGCGGTACACAAGGTCACTACGAGTCGGAACCGGCGCGACGGCACCTAACGACAACAAGGTCTAGGAAGGAAGGCAGCTGATAACGCCTGTTCTGCAAGAACGTGGATCTGAGCCAACGGTTGCAGCAAAGGTTTGGGGGTGGACTGGAAGCACAAACGCGCCATACCAAGTAGGCGTCCACCTGAAGAAAGAAGTAAAGAAGTCCTATCCCTAGAAGCCTCGTACAAAACCTTATAGATTCTGGCCAAGGACCATTAGTTACTCCTCACAGAAAAGCAGACGTTGTGGCTGAAACCAGCTTGATTTCAGAATCAATCCCAGACTAACCGACGTAATTTCTAGCTAATGCTCGTATGTCATCAGATACTGTTATAGACTAGCAATTGTAGGCCAGATGATGTAATGATTTCTATAAAAATCATGTTTTACGGCTCATGACTTATGCTAATGGCTTGTGAATGGCTTAAACTTCTCAGGGTCTCAACCTGTTGCTTCCTCTATGCCCGCTTTAAGACAAGGGGCACATTTGGCCTTAAGACTTGGTCATGGACATCCTTTGACAAAGAAAGAATCCAGATGATAAAGCAAAATATAATCTTTAGTAGTATCTGGCATCGACTTCAGATCCTGCTTCTCCACGTTTGTGAACAAGCCTGAAGTCACTAGATGATAGCAGTACATACATGGGTAATATGAATAAACACACAGACACTCAGTCCCCTTGGCAAATGGGCTGTGTCAATGTGGAACTCCCCGGCTGCCATGTGTGACTGGCCTGCCTTCCACTCTAGGACTTAAAAGAACTCTAATACCATTTGGTTAGAGTCAAAGATATCAAATGGTAGTTAATGCTCATCAGGAGCCCCGGTGGCGCAGTGGTTAAGCATTCCGCTGCTAACCAAAAGGTCGGCAGTTCACATCCACCATCCACTCCTTGGAAACCCTATGGGGCAGTTCTACCCTGTCCTATAGGGTCACTATGAATCGGAATCAACTTGAGGGCAATGGGTCTGGTTTTGGTTGGGGTTAATGCTCATCACAGACGTAGTTTCCTGCAGTGTCTCATACGAGCCAGTTTAATGACTTGGAAAGCCACAGATGACACAAAATGTCTCAGCAATGGCTGTCCTGGATAGGAAAACAGGGCATGAATTGAGATGCTCCTAGAAAGGGTAAAGTTGTTACTTTCCTTTTTTTCTTCCCAAATTAGGTGATTTATCTGTTATTCACGTTTCATCTTATGGAGTCAATAATAGCAAAGGAAGTTACTGAAAGGTTACCCTTCACGTCTCTCTCTTCAAACAGGAAAATCCGATGCAGCAAAATGATTTGAGACTTCCTGTTGTCTTTCCTCAAATTGAACCTCTGTTAATCCCATGAAAAGTACATATCACTGAAATAGAGGCATTTGAAAACAGGTCTTCCTGAAGTTTTAAGAAATTCCAGGGGCAGCAGAAACACCCTTGTTGGTGCTTAAAATTGGCAAGGCCTTTGATGAGGACTGAGCCCAGCTTTGACGCCTGCATCACCCCGTCTGCGGTCAGCCCTCAGAAAGGAACTTACGCTGCTAACTGGCTGCGGTGCCTTACTGTCTCTGGCAGCACCTCCCCATTAGATTGCAAAACCAGTGCAATTAGTGTAGCTCTCTGGGAATGTATGACTACGTGGGGAACTCTCTGTTTAATTAAATATTCAAAATGCTCTTAAAATTAATTGATGCAGTGGCTGGTTTCAGGTGGAACAGCAGTCTCCCCGTGAAAGCTCATAGTTTCTCAGAGATACCTTACGGAATCTCTTGACCACTTCTTGTGGATGGATGGGCTATTCTGATGCCATGAATGCTTTAGACATAAAGTCTTCACAATGTAATCCACCTCCTTTTCAAGCTTTAGTGATGCCCTTTTAAAATGGAGCTTATTTATGAAGTTATAAATAAGTGGAAGTTATTTACGAAGATTCCATGGCATATCCCGTGGTAGGAACAATGTGGTCATGGTAGTTCAGAAGAGTGCATAGATGGAGCAGAGGGCTGTAAAAGTCTTATGGAGGGTCGCTCTGTGGATTACTGATACACCAGAACCGTGCTAATTATTGCAGAGTTATGAACTGGATTTTTTACATGTGATTTAACTCCTACACTTCACATTTTTATAGGGAAAAACTCACGTGATGAGAAGTTTAATCATGTAAATTTCCACAACTTAATAATGCTTTATTCTGAAAAACTGTGAATGGCAGAAGTTCTCAGGATAACGTTTCATCAGAGCACAGGTGGCGTAACCTTCTACCACTTGAGCAAGTGTTAGCGTAGCTGAGCTTGTTTTCAAGTATTACGGGGTGCACATTTCCTGTGTCCTGCTGATCCTACTGGCAAAACCCCTTTTTTTCCAAGCACTATGATATCATTTATATTACAAACTTTTATTTTCTATGACATTTCAGCGCATGCCACGTTGGCTGGAGCTTGCTCCTGCCCATTATGTTTGATGGTTAAGAGGTGATGCTGTAGGACTTCACTGGAACTGCAGATACGAGAGAACCAGTTTAGAGAGAGACGGCACAGCTCCCCGGAGCAGCTATAACATCTTCACCGGGCTGTTTATCAAACACATGAAAAATGACTCACGAAGCTGCTAAAAGGTAAGTCACCAACAATCTCACAACGTCTTCATGGTCTTAGAAGAGAAAATAAGGTTACTAGTCCCAACCAGAAGAAAGTTAGAATATCTCAGCTTAAGAAACTCTACTTTGCTTGCTTTACATTGAAATGAAATTCTGTCAAACATGAATGGCAGGAAACTGGCCAACATAAAACTCTCTCACGTGCCTCAAGTCACTGTCTATGGCTCAGAGTCTACTTAGTTCTAGGGTAGAGGCTGTATCTGGTTGCTTACCAGGAATCTTTCCAAAGAGACAAACACAGCCAGGTATTATCTAGTTTTAAGAAACAGCAAAGAATAAGATGCCTTGCCTCTTGACAGTAGGTCATTTTGAAATTGCATTAAGTAAACTGAATTTAACAGACTGAGTGCTCATGTTGAGCATATTACTGTGAAAAACAGGTTCTGCATTTGGGATGTTTACAGTGTACCAGGGGCAGAAGACGAAGGGGCAGCTCTAAGGCAGAGCATAGTGTGCCACGACAACAACACCAAGTTACTACGGGAGTGAGAAGAGGGAGCGAGCACACGGGGCTGAGGCAGCCAGAAAAACTTTCCAGGGGGCTGTTGAGCTGTACTTGGAAAAATGAAAAGGCATAAATGACAAGAGGCCTTCCAGGTAGAAAAATACATGCCAGGTAAGAGGAATGCGGGGGCAACGTAGGGAACAGCAGGAGTCTCATCTGCATGCATTTAGGGGAGATGTGGGGACAAAAGGCAAGATGGCAGTTTAGGGTCTCAACGAAAAGAACTCTGAATGCTGGGGGAGCAGCTGATCTGATCCAGCCAATAATAAGGAAACACTGAATGCTTCTAGCAGGGAATGTGGTCACACAGGGCGTTAAGCAGACTAATCTGGTAGGAGGAGAGGGACACCGTGGGGACAGAATCTAAGCGGTCTGCCAGCTGAAGAGTGACTAAAGCCTCTGAGCCTAAGCTGCTTGGGGAGAGACAGAAGAACTGAGACGCTAATGAGATATCCCGGCAGCAGCTGATATTAAGTGGTGGCACCTGACTGAGTGGTTAGGCTTAGGAAAAAGTTATGGTTGTCTACCTACAAGTAAGATTTCAAAAGTTAAGGGTGACTGTTATCAAGGAGAGGCTGTGGGGAGAGAACCTAGGTAACTGAACCTATGCTGACATGGCACTGGGGAGAAGGGGAGCTGGCAAAAGGAAGAGAGAAGACGCGTCCCCCGTACAGAGGAGACCTGGATACAACACCCGGCACAGAGGAGACCTGGACGCAACACCCGGGACAGAGGAGACCTGGACGCAACACCCGGGACAGAGGAGACCTGGACGCAACACC